CGCACCGGGCCCTGACATGATCCATGCATACTGGCTAAAGAAGCTCACTGCTCTCCACGAGCGCCTGGCAGCACAAATGAACCAGGGTGGGACTCACCCTGAATGGTTAACCCAAGGGTGTACGATCCTGATCCTGAAGGATCCCTCAAAGGGTGCAGTCCCATCCAACTATCGGCCAATAACCTGTCTCTTCACGTCATGTCAGGCGTCATCGCGGCTAAGATAAGTGGGCACATGGATCCATACATGAGCGCAGCGCAGAAGGGCATCGGCAAAAACACCAGGGGAGCCAAGCACCAACTCCTGGTTGACCGAACAGTCGCCCGCGACTGCAGAATTTGTAAGACCAGCCTGTGCACTGCCTGGATTGATTACAAGAAAGCTTATGACTCAGTGCCACACACATGGATCACTGAGAGCTTGGAGCTGTACAATATCAACAGGACTCTAAGGGCGTTCATTGCAAACTCAATGTGGTTGTGGAAAACCACCCTTGAAGCCAATGGCAAGCCACTTGTACAAATGTCCATCAAATGTGGCATATACCAAGGAGACTCACTGTCCCCACTGCTGTTCTGCATCTGAACATCCTCAGCCAAATCATCGACCGCACTGGCCACGGATATGACTCAGAAACAGGCCTCCATCAGTCACCTCCTCTACATGGATGACATCAAGCTGTACACGAAGAGTGAGACATCGACTCACTGATCCACACCACAAGGATCTACAGTACAGACATTGGGATGTCATTTGGGTTTGAGAAATGTAGCAGGATGGTGATAAAGAGAGGAAAGGTAGTCCACACAGATGGGGTGTCACTCCCAGAGAGAACAATAGCAAACCTTGAGGACAGTTACAAGTACGTTGGTATCCCACAAGGAAATGGCTCCTCAAAGAGGCAACAAGGAAAGAGGCTACAACCAAATACCTGCAAAGAGTGAGACAAGTCCTAAGAAGCAGCTCAATGGCGAGAACAAGGTGCAGGCAATCAACAGCTACATCCTGTCAGTGATCAGATCCTGCAGGAATCGTAAGCTGGCCAAAGGAGGAGATACAGACCACAGATGTTAAGACACGAAAGCTCCTGAACATGCATGGAGGGTTCCATCCCAAATCCAGGACCCTGAGACTGTACGCAGGCTGGAAGGAAGGAGGGACTAGTGAGTGTGGGAACCACTGTCCAGGATGAAACATCCAAGCTTCTTGAGTACATCAAGGACAAGGCCCCGACAGATGAGGAGCTCAGAGAATGTCTCAGACAGTGGGGTCCAGAGGAAGAGGTGCTGGAGGGACCATCATGGCAGGACAAACCCCTACATGGGGCGTACCACCGGAACATAACTGAAGTGGCTGATATCAAGAAATCCTACCAATGGCTTGAGAGGGTCTGAATGTCACACAGAGACACTGATCCTGGCTGCTCAGGAGCAGGACCTGGGCACTCGAGCAATAGAGGCCCAGATCTACCACACCAGACAAGACCCACGGTGTCGACTGTGCAAAGAGGCTCCTGAGACAGTCCAGCACATAACTGCGGGGTGTAAGATGCTGGCAGGGAAAGCATACATGGAGCGACATAACCAAGTGGCGGGCAGAGTGTACAGAAACATCTGTGCAGAGTTCGGGCTGGAGACCCCAGGATCAAGGTGGGAAACACCTCCAAAGGTTGTGGAGAATGACCGAGCCAAGATCCTGTGGGACTTCCAGATACAGACTGACAGGATGGTGATGGACCAACCAGACATAGTGATGGTGGATAAGAAACAGAGCAGAGCCGTGGTGGTGGAACATCACAATACCAAGCGATGGTAATATCAGGAAAAAGGAACACGAGAAACTAGAGAAACACCAGGGGCTCAAGGAGGAGCTGGAGAGAGTCTGGAAAGTGAAGGCATCAGTGGTGCCTGTGGTGATCGGACACTCGGGGCTGTAACCCCCAAACTGGAAGAGTGGCTACAACAGATACCGGGAAAAACAATGGAACATCTCAGTCCAGAAAAGTGCAGCACTGGGAACAGCAAAGATACTGCGCAGAACTCTCAAGCTCCCAGGCCTCTGGTAGACGACCCGAGCTGAATGAGAGTGAGAGACCAACCACCGTGGAAGGTGAGAAACACATTTATTTAATTTTTTTTAAATAATATAAATAATTAGTATTATTATAATAATACAAATTCTTCTGAGCTTTAGGCATGTTTTCTCAAAAAAAAAATCTAAAAGAAGCCAAAAAAGTCTTCCAAGATTATGTGAGCTGTGCTGTCTGTGTGCCTCTGCCTGTGCCACTCTCATTTCTTCCTTTGCACATGAAATACACAATGTCTTTTAGAAAGTGTCTGCATGTCCTGCCCACCGTTGGAAAGCTCTGGTGATTGGCTAAAACAATATGCCAATCACTTTCTGGAAGAACCAATGACTGAAGAGATTTGGTGTAAACATCTTTGACCAGGGGTGGGCAAACTTTTTGGCTCAGGGGGCCACAAACGGTTCCAAAATATGAGGGAAGGGCCGGACCAGGGCGCCATCTAGTTGTGGCCGTCACCATATTTTCTTTAGCCGACCTCCTACACTAGAATTTCCACTGAGAAAAACGCACGATTGCAAAACTCCAAAGTACGAGCCTAGAATCAACTAAACCATTCCTGTAAAACACTTTCCCATAAAACATTGTGGCAACATAATACGCCGCACCTCAATGTAAATGTAGTGCACCATCTACTGGGAAACACCGGAAATACAGGAAAAATAAAACATTAACAAGGTTTATTATTATAATTTATTCAAGTTCCGCAGGTCGGATTTAAAGTTTTAAAGGGCCGCATACGGCCCCCGGGCCGTGGTTTGCCCACCCCTGACTTAGACCGTTCACACACAAAAGCAGGAAGTAGATTGGTGGACTTGTTTTTCAGCGGCGTGCTCCAGGTAAACCAAGGCACGGACAACTCCCGGGATGGTGTCATTTTGAAGACGAGTGTGAGGAAAACAAACGAACCCAACAGCGCCCAGAGAAACGACAGTGAGACAAGCAGAAACATCTATTTTCATTCACACATTCGTCCACTCATACCACATGGAATTATTTTATGAAAAAAACAACTTGATATTCTTTTTCTGTGGATTGTTAAGGACTAAATGAGAACATAAAAATGTTTTTTATTTACATGTAAAAAGGACGATCAACAGGTGCATCCAAATACACTTTAGATCTACTTCAGTCCAGGTTTAGTCCTGGTGTAGTCCAGGTTCAGTTGTGTCCAGTGATCAGAGGGTCAAAAATATATATATAAAAAAAAAAAAAATCTAAAACAGGTTTAAAGTCACACACAAGAGACACAAAATTCACTTACCCAAACTATAGATGGACCAGAGCAGGACCAGAGCTGTGAGGGCCATGACCAGGACTAAACCAGGACTAGACCAGGACTGAAAATGCCAGTAAAACATGTGATTTTGTCTTCACACATTCAAAAAGCAGAAGTTTGGGTGTGTCATTCGTTGAGAAATATCAATAACTCAGATGGATCATAACTGTCACGGGTTTGTCCTAAATCAATATAAAGAAATGATGGCTCAGCCAAAAAAAAAGAGAAGTGAAAGTGTGTTTTTTATTCACACCACAGCCCAATGTGCAGAGTGCAATATTTACACTAAAAATGATGAAGCAGAGTTTAAAAAAAAAAAGTATTTACAACAATATTTACAGCAGCAGCAGCAGCGTTTACAGCAAACCAGCACCCACATAGTCAGGTCAAGGACCGACAACAAAATGACTGGAGCTCCCCCTTAAACACCAATTAACAAAACATAGAGTTTTAAAAATTAAAGTAGGTAAAAATTATTCTCATGATCATAAATCAACTTGGAAATAAACATAAAAACTATGACTTAAATAACTCCTCATATGATTATCCTCAATTCAACTTAATAAACTTAATATAATTTAATAAACAAAATAAAGACACAAATGGAGCACAGCGGTGGAGTCCGAGATCATGTGACCTCCTTTAGCGCGTCACTGTGCATTATTTAGAACACGAGCGGGAAGTGCCTCGGTTTGGCCCCTGAAGCAGAGAGCGGCGTGGATACAGCTGCAGGTAAGAAGTGTGTGGTGCGTAGGCGTCGAGTGTGCACCTCCAACGCACTAGTGGAGAAAAACAGAGTCCAGGTGGAGGGGAAACAGTTTGTGGAAGTACAGGACCGTGGGACATACGAGCGTCCTGCGGGGAAACACGGGGGAAGTGTTCCGCGCTCTCTGCTGGTTAAGGCGTGTCCTCGGGCCAGAGAAAGACGCGCCGGTCGGGTGATGAAGAAGAAACTATGGTCGCTCTGTCACATGATCAAACACTTTCTGAAACGTTTCATGAATGAGGTCCTTTTTTTGAAATGGGACATTTGGCCTCATTCATGAAACTTTCTTACAAACACATTTGTACTTAAGTCCTTCTTATGAACAGTTTTGTTATTCACTAAACTTTTTCTTAACTGAAAATGTTTTTGTGGAAGAACAAATCCTACGAACAGTCAGGAGCACCCGTAAGAACAAATATTCTACTGTTTTAGAATATTATTACTCTGATAATGCAACAAAAAAATCTAATTCCTCCATGATTCTAAGTTATATATTTTCTTAAATAATTTCCTATAAACATAAAATAATGTGTGATCCTATAACCTTTGAGGTGTTTTCAGTGGTGTTGTGTAGTTGTGCACGACCCTGACTGAGTCTGTACTGGGGAGATGGACCAATCCAGCCCACGATGAGGCCTCAAAGTGCCGTGAGCCCCGCTGCATCGCACCGACCGCACCTCTGAATGATGTTGGGCGTTTTATCGAGCTGTGGTCTACTGGGTCTAACAGACTTAAGGCTGCAGTGAACCTCAGTCTGTCCCAGACCCAGGGCCTCCACATGGGCCTCTGTCACAGCCCTGATCCTGGTCCCTGACCCTGGTCCCTGATCCTGGTCCTGGCTCGGTGTTGGTAAATTCAGGACAACTGTCACTTAAGAAGGAATGTGGGATCTTAAAAACACTTTGTGAATCTGGCTCAGTCTCTCAGCAGCTTCTAAACGTGGAAGTTACAAACATTTTTTAAGAAGATTCATTAATGAGGCCCAGTGTGTCTTTAGTTTCTTTGGCAGCAAAAACAAAAACACAAGTGTGTTTCATTCAAATGTGTTCATTTTATTGGTCAAATGTAAATAGAACATTGAGCACATTTCTATAGTGACACTCTTTTTTATATGAAACTTTTAAGTGGCTCCACGAACAAAACGCCTCTGAAACTATGACTGTGTGAACAATATACAAATATATGAATGGAACACTCTGGCACGTGGTTATAGATCATTTTTTTAAAGAGTCTCGTCCCAGTGTGGGCGTGGTTCTGTCGGACGCTCCAGAGGATCAGATCTTCTATGATTTCTACGGGTCGTCTCATTTCAAACTAAAGCAAAGTTCTCTGGCCTTAACAGGAAGTAGACTGCACCTGGATCCTGTGCATCAGAATCATTTTCAAACCAAAGCCTCAAGTCTGTGAACAGTGTGTAATGTTCTAAGATCAGATTTGAACTGACTGGAGTGAGTTTGTGAAACATCAGTAAAAGAAAATCTGAAAACACAAAACAGCCACAAAAGAAGGATTATAAAAAAGAGTCACTAAACAATAGAACAAAACAGTGACTCTGTATTTACACAAATGGACTGAACATCCCTCACACCCGACCCGGTCCAAGTCCAGGGACTCACACCCGACCCGGTCTAAGTCCAGGGACTCACACCCGACCCGGTCCAAGTCCAGGACTCACACCCGACCCGGTCCGAGTCCGGGACTCACGCCCGACCCGGTCCGAGTCCGGGACTCACGCCCGACCCGGTCTAAGTCCGGGACTCACGCCCGACCCGGTCTAAGTCCGGGACTCACACCCGACCCGGTCTAAGTCCGGGACTCACACCCGACCCGGTCTAAGTCCAGGACTCACACCCGACCCGGTCTAAGTCCACGTCTCAGGTGGATCTGATCAGGTCTATCTCCAGGTCCTCTGAGGTCCTCTCTCTGGCGCCCCTTCTGGCCCGGACCTGAAACAACAGGACACAGCAGATCCACACGTCACAAAACCAGGACCACAGACTGAAGAAGTTTTCTGAGGGAGCGTGACGACACCCACAGTGTTCAGCTCCAAATGAAGCTCATGGAGGCCAGCAGTTACAGCGGCTCATCTGGAGCCTGATTGGTCTGTTAATGTTCAGATCTGGATTTGGGACAAAATGTTGAAGTCCAAACCCCAGGATCATGTGGAGCAGGTCCAGACCAACATGTGAAGGTCAGAGTGAAGAACCTGACAGCAGCAGGTCCAGAGAGACACTTTTACACACAAACTCAACTGGAGCCAGAGTCCATGGAGCCCAGAACTAAACCAGGACTAAACCAGGACTAGACCAGGTCTAAACCAGGACTAAACCAGGACTAAACCAGGTCTAGAGTCAGTACCTTGCAGTAGCAGTAGGACAGTGGGAGGATGCAAAGGAGCAACAGAAGAATCACCACGACTCCGATGATCAGGACTGAGTCTGACTCTGCAACACAAAAGAACCCAGATCAGACCAGGACCAGAACTGAGACCTGGACATTTTGAACGATTCAGGAAGTCTGTGGAGAGGAGTGTGTGTGTGTGTGTGTGTGTGTCATCTAAATTCTGATTGGATGCTGAGAGACATAAAAATGTAAAATCAAAGTTTTACCTGAACATTTCACCTCCAGACCCCAGGAAGAGGAGTAAGAACCAGAGACACATTCTCTCACTGAAGACGTCTTCACACAGTCAGATGAGACCTTCCACACACGACTTTGTGAAAAATCATCTCTCTGTTCTCCATAAACAGCAGAACCACAGTCCAGGTCTCTGCACACACCAACTGTGTGCTCCTGGTCCCAGTGTCCAGAGGAGTCCACTCGTCTCCACTCTCCTCTGTGTTTCACCTCCACAGTCCCAACACAGCGACTGGCTCCTCCCATCAACCTGAGCTCTGAACAGACAAGAGACAGAGTGAAGCCCCGCCCCTTTACCTGAGCAGTGAAGCCCCGCCCCTTTACCTGAGCAGTGAAGCCCCGCCCCGAGCAAATTAAACACCTGAGCTAAAGTCTATTCTCTATCTATGACTGGTGACTCTACTGTTTACAGCAGGGGTGGGCAATCTACGGCCCGGGGGCCATATGCGGCCCTTTAATCTTGTCTTTTAAAAGTGATTTCAATTAATAGTAAATACTATGGGACTTGAAAGACAGATATTTTATTGTACTGCTTTGTAATGATTTTCAATTATGGGGTATTTTAATAACATGGGATATGTTTTCTACATATCCTTTGTTTTTTGTTTTTTATGAGGTGGATTACCAAAAAACTCCATCAGTCTGCTCCCGGTCTCGTCCTTCTGTCAAACTGTAGAACCCTTTGTGGCCCATGAGTCAAAAAGTATGCCCACCCTGGTTTACAGTCTTACAACAAATAATCTGTGGACACAATCTCCACATCAGGACTAGAGTTTGTTTGTTTATTTCTTTAGTTGTAAAAAGGTTCAGTTAAACTTTGCAGTGAAATTTGACACCGTCTGATTTAAACTTATAGTGTACACGGACACGCCCCCTCACACAGAGTGTGTGTATCTGTGTGTGTGTGTGTGTGTGTGTGTATCTGTGTGTGTGTGTGTGTGTGTATGTGTGTATCTGTGTGTCTGTGTGTGTGTGTGTGTGTATGTGTGTGTGTGTGTGTGTGTGTGTGTGTGTTGTTAGTTGAATGTGTGTAAGTGTTTTTTGTTGTTATAAATCAGTTAAAAAGTCTTAAATGATCAAAGATGCTCCATGTTTATCTTTTGTCATATCTGTGCCATAGTTGCCATAGCGACCAGTGTAAATGTCCCGTCTCCTCTGATGGTGCATGTGCACAGGGACATGAGTATCCTGGTTTCTCTGAGCTCATGGAAACACTCTGTCCAGAACAGTGTCATAACCGGGATCCTGCTGCACATGTAAACGCACTGACACTTCCACTTTACAAATGAAACACATTTAAGACAAAAGCAGCTTTATTTTCTCATCTATGACGTCATCAGAGACACAACTTTGTCTAAACGGATCTTTTCTGTAGAATCCATTTACAACAAGAATCAAACACACACACACTCCCAGCATCGTCCATCACAAACACACAGGTTTACTCCATCTCCAGAGAATCAGCAAAGAGAACATGAGACAGTCTGTCACTGTCACTGCTGCACACAATCTACAAGATTCAACTATTAAAGCAGAACTCTGCTGCAAAAGGGACTTTTCACACATTTAACCATGTCACACATGTTTCCTTTCTTCTGTTTGGACACATTCAACCTGAACATTTACAAAAACACTTTTACCTGAACACTTCACCTCCAGACCCGAGGAAGAGGAATATGAACCAGAAACACATTCTCTCATTGAAGACTCCTTCACACAGTCAGATGAGACCCTCCACACACGACTCTGCGGAAAATCATCTCTCTGTTCTCCATAAACAGCAGAACCACAGTCCAGGTCTCTGCACACACCAACTGTGGCCTCCTGGTTCCAGCGTCCAGAGGACCCACTCGTCTCCACTCTCCTCTGACTCTCACCTCCACAGTCCCAGCACAGCGATTGGCTCCTCCCACCAACCTGAGCGGCTCTGAACAGACAAGAGACAGAGTGAAGCCCCGCCCCTTTACCTGAGCAGTGAAGCCCCGCCCTTTACCTGAGCAGTGAAGCCCCGCCCCTTTACCTGAGCAGGTGAGGTTGACAGTGGCTCCAGAGGAGCAGGTGCTTGAGTTGGAGCGGGGACAGTCCATCAGAGCAGACTCATGTCCCTCACAGTGGAACGTCTGCCCCAGAGGAGAGAGCGCCCCCTGGAGGAGAGAAGGAGCCCCACAGTCCAGCTCCCTGCACAGCACCTCTGCCCCCCGCTGGTCCAAGTCCCCGTCACAGACCCCGGTCCAGGACCCGTCCCAGATCTGCACTGATCCTGAACACAGACCGGACCCCGAGACCAACCGCACCGACTCTGTGGACACACATGTGACATCATCACTCTGAACCAATAGGACGCACACATGTGTGACATCATCACTCTGAACCAATAGGACGCACACATGTGTGACATCATCACTCTGAACCAATAGGACGCACACATGTGTGACATCATCACTCTGAACCAATAGGACACTTGTTGTGATCATGTGACTTGGACACAAACTCAGAGGACGTGTCTCTTTTCTCTTTCCTCACTTCCTTCTTCTTGATTGTGCAGGAAATGGATGAGTAAGTCCCGCCCACAGAGGAGACACAAGGAGGAGACACGAGCTGAGGGTGAATGAGTCTTTCCTCAGACGCTGGTTCTGACCTAAATGACTCTATAATCAAACTATACAAAGGATTATTTTATATTATTATTTCACAACTTTAAATCAAAGTCAGAGCAGTGTCTTTATTTTAAGACAAATGTATTTTTAGCTTTTTTAAAATGAGTTTTAATGTCAAATTCTGGATTCTGTAACATGTCAGACCTGCTTTGCTGCTGTTTCTGTCACTACGACAACACAAACTCCTCACTGTGACACTAAAACAGTTTGATTATTTGTATCTGATGTTTGCTCCTGAACCCTCCCTCAGGTCTCCTTTGTGGTTTCCTTCCCTTGTCTTCTCTGTAGTTTCCTTCCCTTGTCTCCTCTGAGCTTGATCTGGTTCATTTGATTGACAGCTGACAAATGGAGGATTGAGGAGAGGAAGCAAGGAGAAGGAAGCGAGGTGCCTCCTGCTGCTCCTGTGGTGTTGGAGTTTGTTGTGTTTGAGTCACAGACTCAGGAGCGTTGGATTCAAAGTGAGAGGGGTTTGGGTTCAAATCAGAGACACAACTTTGTCTAAACGGATCTTTTATGTAGAATCCATTTACAACAAGAATCAAACACACACACACTCCCAGCATCGTCCATCACAAGCACACAGGTTTACTCCATCTCCAGAGAATCAGCAAAGAGAACATGAGACAGTCTGTCACTGTCACTGCTGCACACAATCTACAAGATATGTTGTTAATATGATTAAGTGAGATTCAGGAGCAGGACCAGGCCTCTCCTCTCACCAGCGAACCACAACTCACCTCAACCACGCCTCTAATTTCCCAGAAGCCTATATGGAGCAGCCTTTCCCATCATCCCAGTTTGTCTCGGCAAACTCAATCAACGATTTTACGTCTTTCCCAAAGATATCCAGCTTTTCACCGCTGCAGCTCCTTCAGTCGTTTCAGAGTTTCAGAGGGTTTTATCACGTGCCATCCAGTCTCCTCTCTCAGTCCAGCCGACAGCTCTCCCGCCTCGTTCGAACTATATCCCATTGTTATCAAGCCATTGTTTGGGGGCACGAGTGGTCTAGTAGGTACATTCTTATCCATTTCGACCGCGACACCGCAGTCCACATCATCAACAGAAGGTCTCGCTTCTCCACAATCTCTCAGTTCCTTCAAAGCTCACCTAGTATCTGTTCAGAATCAGTTTGTCACCCGTGCCGCTCATATTCCAGGTCATTTAATCTCCATTGTGGATTCTCTCTCTTCGATTTTACAGGAGCTTGGCTCTGTACTCGGACGTCCAGCTTATTCCAGTTCCCCATTTTCGACCATGATCTTCGATTAAGCAACCCCGCTCTCGCCCCTCTCGTCTCGATCTCGCAACTCACTGTCCTCAACAGCCTCGCCCTGAGCTCCCTTTCTACCTACTCGACCGGGTGGAATAACTTAAAAGCTCTTTTCAGTCTCCATCAGCTCCTCCTCAGTTCTTTCGATGTCAGCACCATCTACAGTTTCGCCACCTTCTCACATCACTCCAGGAACATCTGCCTCTCCACCATCCAGGCTCATCTCTCAGGAGTTAACGTCATTGCAAGATGATCTCCAGCAAGGACTGCCCATCTCTCTCGCTGTCTCACTGCCACTTTTCCACCTTGATTAAGTCCGAACCTTGTCTCCCGCCTAAACACTTACTACTTACTTCAGATATCCTCTACCTCCTATCCTCACTCTTTGTTCCAGATACTATTTGCAGTCCAAGGACATCTTCCTCACAGCCTTCTTGGGCCTTCCGATTCTTGTTCTGTTCTTGCACTCTTATAGCCAATCGTTTTCGACCCGTTTGTCCACCCCAGGCTTCTGATCTCCTCTTACATTCTACGGTCTTTGCTTATCTTCACTCTCTGCAGGAATATAACAGACCAGTTGGGAAACACCTTCCCTATCCACCTCTTCGCCTTAACTCATCGATAAGTCCTTGCGAACCTTTCGTAAAATATCTCGCTTTCCGTCACGCCTCCGATTCATTCTTCATCGATCTGTGCTTCCTCACAGAAACGGGCAGATGGCTTCCAGGTTCTGGTTCAGTAACATTTCCAATAAGTTCTATACTCTCTGGCATAGCTTCACATTTGTTTTCCATCCACTCTTTCCACATTGGCATGGGCACATTTGACCGAAAACTCAGATCCTCGGTCACCGGGCCTCCAGCGCCTATCTCATTAAGACCTCAATGATCTCTGTCCAGCCCATCCTATCTTGCATTCTTTTAAACCTTTTGGGGGTCCCGTTCCGGCTGGGCCAATTGTAGATTGAGACAGAGCCCCCACCCATAGTCTCAACCAGCCATCTCTGCCTCGCTTCGTACATTATCAATAAACTTCTTTGCACTATGTCGTTGTTGGCATGGTCCTTGCTAGTGAATCAACTATTAAAGCAGAGCTCTTCTGCAAAAGGGACTTTTCACACATTTAACCATGTCACACATGTTTCCTTTCTTCTATTTGGACACATTCAACCTGAACATTTACAAAAACACTTTTACCTGAACACTTCACCTTCACACCCCAGGGAGAGGAAGAGGATGAACCCCAGACACATTCTCTCACTGAAGACGTCAACACACAGTTAGATGAGACGTCCCACACACGACTCTGTGGAAAATCATCTCTCTCTTCACCATAAACAGCAGAACCACAATCCAGGTCTCTGCACACAAAAGCTGTGTGCTCCTGGTCCCAGGGTCCAAAAGGATTCAGTCGTCTCCACTCTCCTCTGTGTTTCACCTCCACAGTCCCAACACAGCGACTGGCTCCTCCCACCAACCTGAGCGGCTCTGAACAGACAAGAGACAGAGTGAAGCCCCGCCCCTTTACCTTTCCCTGTGTTACTGTGGCAGAGTGGTTAGCCTGGTGTGTGAGTGTCTTTACCTGAGCTGTTGTCTTCTGTCAGGACCCCTGCACACACAAGAGACATGTCACATAATGGCTTTTTAAAAATTATTATTATTATTAATTCACTCAAATACACAATCAATAAAACCACACAAACCACACATACAACACATACGATACATACGATACATACGATACATACGATACATACGATACATACGATACATACGATACATACGATACATACGATACACGGGCGCCATAACAACAACCAACTATAGAAGAGGAAACTCAAATACATAAAACCAAGGAGTGTTTATTTGCACTCTGGGTGTTAATTGTTCAATGGACACGATTCTTCTATTTACACCCGTCTTAAGAAAAAAGGGAACGGTGACGTGTTCGCTTACGTCATTTCCTGTGAAAAGCGCGGGAAGCTGGATTTGACAATCCAAAGAAATACAATTTAAAACGAAGGTAGGGTAAGGTAAGGTAAAAAGTAAGTCAGTGTTGCTACAAAAAATATTTGCAATGCCTGTCCGACCATTACTGTTTGGGTAATTAAGTTGAAGCATCACAGCATCATGGACAGTTTATTGAGCTTGTGCGATGTATAGTTAGCGGTTATGCTAGTTGATCTCTTTAGTCAGCAGTTCAAGTACAGCCTCGAGTAAGAGAATGGTGATATTAAAAGTGGTTCAAATGTCAGCACTTGGCCCTCGTAAGCACCAGAACTACTAGAACGACATCAGCCCGTTTGAGATTATAATGTATTTAATGCAGTTTTGCGCACAAAAACGAAACCTAACGCCACAAGGCTAATCTGTATAAAACACCCGCTGAAAAAACAGTTGGCTCTGTGCCTGATGCGGAGCTTCTGTCGGACAGTGGTGAGTCTGTTCTGGAGATGGTTCATGTTAAACTTTACAGAGATCATTCACATGCAGATCGTACGTGTGCAGGTTCAGTGCGTCTCTTTATTCAACAGCATCATTTCACTCATGTAAAGTCATTTAATTTACGTCAGTTCCCGTGTCACTTTCGTCTCCAGGTAAATTGTCCGTTGCTCGTGTGTTGTCCTCTTCATCACGCAGCAGTGCAGCCTTTCCAAACCTGTTGGTTATTGTGGATTTTTTCACATGGCTCCACACTGTCACACTGCATGATACAGTGTCAGTACCGGTTCACCCAATACACACAGTACACACAGTGAGTAGTGGCCCCTTACCTTGGCGTTACCTCGTCTCACATATGCGTCGTGGATCCATAGACCAAATGCGTCTCCTGCTGCTCCCGTGCGCCACATTTCCTCCCACACAGCACATCGACCGTGCCTCTTCCCGTGAGCCTCTAAACCAGAACTAAAACCAGAACTAAGACCAGGACTAAACCAGGACTAAAACCAGTTTTAAACCAGCACTAAAACCAAGTCTAAACCAGGATTAAAACAGGACTAAAACAACATTTAACCAGGACTAAACCATTAGGCGCAGACTGCGAATGATTGATCAATGATTCCGCATAGTTTTGAGTAAAAAAAAAAAAAAAAACAAATATTACTGTCAGTGAGGTTTTTTTTTTTTTTTTAAATAAATAACCTGGGTGTAAATAGCATTTTTGTCTAGGAACACCCAGGTGCCCTTCTATGTGCCACGCTAAATACACCTGGGTGTAAATATTAATAATAATAATAATAATAATAATAATAATAATTTGCCCTATGTGAGAATAACAATGTTAGATATTTACACCCAGGGTGCAAATAACATCAGCCATCAAATAAAGTGATACAGTTATGTTAGAGATATTTTCTTTAGATATTGTATGTTTTAATAAATTTTGTTTTGTTTTTATCAGGTTTATTATCTGGAAATATTGTGTTTGGTTTTTCTCGTGGTGCAATTTGGTTTATTTTGAGTCCATTGTGTTTTGTGTAGATGATATTTTGGACGGTGACGGTGCACAGGCTCATGTCGTGAGCTACAGTGTGTTCGACCACAGCTCCATCAGCTCCTTCAGCCTGGTCTGTGTCAGAGTCCAGAGTCTGAACAAGGACCAGCCCACATGGACCCAAGGTCTGACCATGATCTAGTCCTGATTTAGTCCTATTTTAGTCCTGCTTTAGACCTGGTTTAGTCCTGGTTTGTTTTGTTTTTATTCATGTCCTCATGAGCTACTGAAAATCTATTCTTCCTGAGGTTCGTGTCAGGCTGCAAATGTGTTTTTTCCCACCACAAAATAACAAACACATAAATAATCATGATAATCAAAATCAAAATAATAAAAGCTCAACTTGTGTTCTGATCAGAGACGCACAACTGGATTATTCCATCATTAAGCCCAACACACGTCTGCACACAAAATCACAACTGTTCCAACAGAGCGACTCCCGAGTGAAAAAGGAACAGTCTGAGTGTTTTATGGAAACTAAACGTCCTGATTCCTGAGGTGAGAAACTGTGGGTGTGAGTTCCACCTCTGCTCTACAGCGCTCTGTCCTCTGGGTTTGGTTTGAGCGACAGGTCGGGAGCAGAACGAGACTCGCCTGACTGTCGTGTGCAGCACTGATGCACGTCACTGAACAAAGTCACTTTACTCTACAGTAACAATAATCCAAGTATCATGATATTGTATCGTCAAAGTTCTAACAATAACATCACGGATCATCACCATCCATCCGTTTTCTTCCGCTTCTCCGGGGTCGGGTCTCGGGGGCATCAGTCTGAACAGAGACTCCCAGACTTCCTTCCTACACTTCCTCCAGCTCCTCCAGTGGGACCTGAGGTGCTCCCAGTCCAGTCCAGAGACATCGTCCCTCCAGTGTGTCCTGGGTCTTCCCTGGGGCCTCCTCCCGGTGGGACATGAACACCTCCTGAGGGAGACGTCCAGGAGACGTCAGAACAGACGTCTTCCCCTCAGACGCTCCTCTCCACGTGGAGGAGCAGCGGCTCTACTCCGAGCTCCTCACTCTGTCTCTAAGGGAGCACCCAGACACCCTGCGGAGGAAACTCATTTCTGTCGCTTGTATCCGTGATCTCGTCCTTTCGGTCACTACCCAGAGCTCATGACCAGAGGTGAGAGTAGGAACAAAGACTGACCGGTAAATCGAGAGCTTCGCCTTTCGACTCAGCTCCTCTTCACCACAACGACCGATACAGCGACCGCATCACTGCCCACGCTGCACCTGTCCACCTGTCAATCTCACGCTCCATCCTCCCCTCACTCGTGAACAAGACCCCGAGATACTTGAACTTGTCCACTTCAGGCAGAGACTCTCCACCCGCCCGGAGACAAGACGACTTTTTCAGGTCCAGAACCTCGACCTCGGATTTGGAGGATCTGATCTTCATCCCAGACGCTTCACACTCGGGTCAAACCGCCCCAGAGCTGCAGGTCCTGGTCTGATGAAGACAACAGGACGACATCATCTGTGAACAGCAGAGATGATCCTGTGGTCCTCAAACCAGACCCTCTGACACCTGAACCTCTGTCCATAAAAACAATAAACAGAACCGGTGACAGGTGCAGCCCTGGCGGAGTCCAACATGCACCGGGAACAGGTCTGACTTACTGCCGGCAATGAACACAGCTCCTGCTCCGGTCATACAGGGACCGGACAGCCCTTAGCAAAGGGCCCCAGACCCCATATTCCCAGAGCACCCCCCACAGGACACCACGAGGGACACAGTCGAACGCTTCTCCAGATCCACAAAGCACATGTGGACTGGTTGGGCAAACTCCCATGAACCTCGAGCACCGATGGAGAGTGTAGAGCTGGTCCAGTGTTCCACGACCAGGACCAAAACCACACTGCTCCTCCTGGATCCGAGGTTGGACTATCGGCCGGATTCTCCTCTCCAGTCCCTGACAGAGACTGGGAAGGCTGAGGAGTGTGATTCCCCTGTAAGTGGAACACACCCTCCGGTCCTCCTTCTTATACAGAGGGACCACCACCCCGGTCTGCCAGTCTAGAGGTTCTATCCCCGACCGCCACACGATGTTGAAGAGACATGTCACACAAGACCGACAACATCCAGAGACTTAAGATCCTCAGGACGGATCATCCACCCCCAGAACCACCAAGGAACTTTAACCACCTCAGTGACTTCAGGGTGATGGATGAGTCCACCTCCGAGTCTCCAGTCTCGACTTCCTCCTTGGAAGACGTGACGGTGGGATTGAGGAGATCCTCAAAGTTTTCCTTCCACCGCTAGACAACGTCCCCAGTCGAGGTGAACAGCTCTCCCCTCGCAGTGTAAACAGTGTTGGTGAAGAACTGCTTCCCCCTCCTGAGGCGCCGGACGGTTTGACAGAATCTCTTTGAGTCCGTCCGATAGTCCTTCTCCATGGCCTCCCTGAACTCCTCCCAGCTCCGAGTTTTTGCCTCTGCAACCGCACGAGCTGCAGCACGCTTGGCCTGCCAGTACCATCAGCTGCCACAGGAGTCCCACAAGCCGTAGTTGTAATTAATTTATCAAATTTAAATTTACATGAATTATTTTGCATAATTTTATATTTGATTGTTGAACACGATAGCAGATTCTTTAGTCTAGAAATCATGTTTTTTGCATAAATTTTGAGTTTTATTCTTGAAATAATCACTTAAATAATTTGTAGTATCAATTGGTTTGGTCAGAAAAGAAAGAGTCCTCTACTTCCAAAATGTTGGAGCAGATTTATTTTTCCGTCTCATTAATTCACAAATACATCCATCCATCCATTTCCTTCCGCTTATCCGGGGCCGGGTCATGGGAGCAGCAGCAGGGACTCCCAGACTTCCTTCACCCCAGACACGTCCTCCAGCTCCTCCAGGGGAACCCCGAGGTGTTCCCAGGCCAGCTGAGAGACATCGTCCCTCCAGTGTGTCCTGGGTCTTCCCCGGGGCCTCCTCCCGGTGGGACATGCCTGGAACACCTCCCGAGGGAGGCGCCCAGGAGGCATCAGAACAGATGCCCGAGCCTCAACTGGCTCCTCTCGACGTGGAGGAGCAGCGGCTCTACTCCGAGCTCCTCCTGTGTGGCTGAGCTCCTCACTCTATCTCTAATGGAGCGCCCAGACACCCTGCGGAGGAAACTCATTTCGAGCGCTTGTATCCGCGATCTCGTCCTTTCGGTCACTACCCAGACTCATGACCAGAGGTGAGAGTAGGAACAAAGACTGACCGGTAAATCGAGAGCTTTGCCTTTCGACTCAGCTCCTCTTCACCACAACGGTCCGATACAGCGACCGCATCACTGCCGAAGCTGCACCTGTCCACCTGTCAA